AATGGAAGCAGGAAAACTGGGTGAGAGGGAGGTTTTAAATAGGAGGTGGGAAGCAAAGCCTGGAGCGGTTTCCTGGTTTGGGTTGAAAAGAAGGCTCAGAAGAAACCTTTTAAAAAGAGATGCTGAACATCCTCCTGAATTGCCCATCCCTTGGCTTCTCGGAGGTTTCCACAATGGCCTCCTATATAGGCCTGTCCTACCTGAAATAGACTCAAAGCTCAGAAGAAACCTTTTAAGAAAAGATGCTGAACATCCTCCTGAATTGCCCATCCCTTGGCTTCACAATGGCCTCCTATATAGGCCTGCCCTACCTGAAATATACTGATGATCTCAAAATAGTCCCGTCCTCCTATCAACATGTTTGCATCAAGCTTTGCATCCCCTCAGTGACCTCTCAGTGGGAGAAACCCGTCTGATAAACTAACTACCCTACAATATTAATTGTGCCGGGCCAGCTCAGCCAAGGCTTTGGTGAGCCTGACCGGGTGCGGCGAAGGATTAAAGAAAAGACAGACAAAAAGAATAAGCTGGGTAGGTGGATCCTCCTGTGCCTGGTTGAGGCCACAGAGAGAGATCCAGAGGCAAGCTGAGCCTTTATTTTATAGCCAGAGGTAAACAAGGTAGTGGTCACCATAGTTACAATGCTCTTGTGAGTTTCACTTGTTTTGGCAGCACTTGCTGCATCTCCCACAGCCCATTAGCTACCCAGATAAGATCTAGGGAGCTCATAAGGTCAAGCCTAATTATGCTAAGAGGGCTGTGCCCTCTATGCTGGGACTTGTTTTGTGGCTTTGCCAACAGGTCAGTCCGAGGCTTAACCCTATAGCCGCTCCCTGCAATTAATCATTTACTCATCACAAATTTTATTGTATAAAGGATTTTGGGGGAAAGAAAGATCATACATGTGATCCCTGCCCTCATGCAGCTCCTAGTGTGGTGGAGATACGATGATGCCATTATTGTTAGAGTCACATCTGCGTAGCACTTTACAGTATGCAGAGCACTTTTATTTTCCCTCTCATTTAAGGCATGATTATAGTAACCATAACATGAAACAGCAAGAAATAACATGCATGGGGCTCTGGGGGACAGAAGCGATCCCTTTCTTCCAGGGAAGCAGAAAAGGTTGTATGGAGTTGATACGCTTGAGCCAGACCTTGAAGCGGGTGTAGGACCTGAACTGAGAGACTGGCCTTGGGCTGTCCCTGATAGAGCCCAGAGAGGATATTGGGGAACTGAGTGGTGAGGGTTGAAGCAGGGTGACATTTGATAATAATGGGTAACATGTAAGCTTTTACACTGTTCTAAGTGCTTTACATATCAGAATTCATTTAAGTCCTAAAAAATCGATGAGGTAGGACCTCTGTCATCCCCCTTTACAGGTAAGGAAACTGGCCTGCCCAGAGTAGGCTAGAGCCCCACTATGAAGAGCCTGAAAGGGTGAGCCACCATGGAGCTTCATCTGGTAGGGCTTGGGCAACAGGGAACCAATGGAGGTTTCTGAGCTGGCAAGTTAACTGCTTTAAGATGAACTCGTTTAGAGAGCAGAATTGGAGAGGACCTCAGTTGAAGATCATCTATAGATGTCAATCATGTTACAGTCGGCTCAGGGTAAAGCCAAGACAACAGGACCAATGATACACTCACTGGCCCTTCAGTTGCCCTCAGAGATTCCTCCACTTTTCCCTGCGGTTTCTCACATCTTCCCGTGTATGAGCCACCACTGCCTATCCGGCTCATGCCAGCAGCTTGGGCTAGGAAAACAAAAGTTCCTCACGCTACACTTGCAGTGTTTTTGTAAGTCTTAAATGCTTTCAACATAGAAAATAATAATGAAAATAAAAGCTTAAAGAGTCTGAACTTTATGTTGCGTGTGGCACAGTGTTCAGCAAACTCATTAGTCAACAGAGCCAAATATCAACAGTACAACGATTGAAATTTCTTTTGAGAGCCAAATTTTTTAAACTTAAACTATATAGGTAGGTGCATTGTTATTAACTTAATTAGGGGACTCCTAAGCTGGCCTTTGCTAAAAACGTCCCCAATCTGAGGGGTCGACCTCAGCGAACGTACCCCCACTTCTTCTAACACCTCTTCTTCAAAATAAACTCGCCCAGCCCCAAAACCGACTTCTGCGCATGGGCCACGAAGTTTCCGTCGCATTGTACGTGCGCGCCCGCACATAGTATTTTGTGAAAGAGCCACACTCAGGGGGCCGAAGAGCCTCATGTGGCTTGAGAGAGCCTTGGTGTGCCGACCACTGGTTTGGCATGATCATTAGCATAATAATGTCTGTGCGTTAGAGCAGAGTGGGATAGCCCATCCGGGCCTCGGCTGGGTTTCCTGGGATCTCTCACAACTTTTAGGTCCTTCAAACAACCCTGTGTTTTGGTCTGTGTGCTGCCAAAGTGTGCCCATAAGTACTGTATTATTGATTTTTAAGACGCTTTCTTATAGCTTCTAGGTAGAATTATGACAGTTCTGCAATCTCTGGGGAAGTAAAAGAGGAGGAGGTGGAGGACGGGAGAAACAGCAGCGTCTCTTTTCTCCTGTCCTTCCAAAGCCATATTGACTTAGGTGCGAGGGCTTAAATGTACCCAGATGTGGGACCCCCTAAGCCACTCCAAGTTGTCTTAGTGTTAATACAACTCCGTCTCTTAGATTTAGAAGCCTCTGTTCTCCAGTCAGTAGGTCCTGTTCCTGGTGTTTAAGCCTCCTGTGGCGGAGGGGTGGTGATGGAACCCAGGGGCTGCTGCTCTGAGAATCAGACACCCAGTCAGCTTTTCAAGTACTAGTTCTGCATTTCAGAATTTCCCAGGATTTTAGGCAGACACGAAGGATTCTCCCCCTCTTCTTTTACTCTTCTCATTTTCCTCCACCTCCTGCCACCTCTCTTCTCTTCTTCTTTCTCTTCCTCCTCAATCTCCTTCTCCGCCTCCTCCTCCTCCTCCTCCTCCTTTTTCTTCTTTTGTCCCATAGTCTCTACTAATCTCTATAGACAGTGACTGTTTAATGTGGGTAGAGGATATGGAAGTGATATCAAGCCTTTGGTGTGAAATGACTTATGGAACACCTACCTCCTCTTTCAGCCTTGTCTACACATAGTTATGTGTCATAATGCTTCATTCATACATTTTTTAAAATCTTGATTAAAACATCAGTGTTCACAGCAGCATTGTTCACAATATCCAAAAGGTAGAAACAACTCAAATGTACATGCATAAACAAAATTTGATATATAGATATGTGTGTATATGTATGTATATGTGTATATATATATATATCCCAGAATTATTCAGCCTTAGAAAGGAATGAAATTCTGACACATGCTATAACATGGATGAACCCTGAGGCTATTATGCTAAGTGAAATAAACGAGACACAAAAGCACAAATATTATATGATTCCACTTATATGAGGTACATGGGAGAGTCTAATTTCATAGAGATAGAAAGGAGAATAAAGGTTATCAGGGGCTGGAGGAAGGGAGAATGAAGAGTTATTGTTGAATGAGTATGGATGGGCGTTTCAGTTTAGGATGACGGATGGTCGTGATAGTTGAATAACAATATGAATGTACTTAATGGTACTAAACTGTACACTTAAAAATAATTAAAATGGCAGGAAGGCCGGGGAGGGTTGGGGGTTGGCAGGGGGGTGGCGGGTAAGAGATCAACCAAAGGACATTTTAAAAAATAATTAAAATGGTAAATTTTATGTTCTGTATATTGTATTTTACCACAGTAAAATAGTCTCAGTATTATGTAAATATGAAAAAAATTCATGGATGCTGGAATCCTATTTGCTATTAACAGATTTGGTGTTTAAGCAATAAAATCGGTTTACCTTATTTTGTATAAGATTTGCAGTTGTGGGTGAACTGGGACTCTTATAGCATTACTGTCTTGTCATGGTCCAGCAGCTGTTGTTCACATAGCATCTTTGCTCCCAAAGACATCCAGACATCTATGAACACTGTGTTCAAATGGAAGCCCCCGTCAGCTGTGAGTGAGGAGCCTGAGTTCTGTTTCAGCTCTATCTTGATCAAGTCTCTCTCTCTTCGCCTTTCCGGACCTCATCCTTGTTACATAGCCAGGAGGCTCACATCCAGGTCTTTTGTTTCTTAGCCTCATATGCCTTCTCACCATGCTGCCTGTGGTTTGGCAAATTAGATTTGGTGCTCCGTCTGCCCAACTAGGTCTACCCTTGGTTGGGACCCTGCCCACTGCATTTGGCACTTGGTCCCTGATACAACCTCCAATGGGCCCCTTTCTGGGGAGGGGTGGAGGGAAGGGAGGGGCATTCTGTCACCCTGGGGGGCATGGAAGATGCCTGCCTTGCCTCCTGAAGGGTATGCGATTCTGCCTGCCCTGTGAACGGGCCTGGATGTGGATTCCCCAGAAATAAGTTTGTTTCCCAGATCAAGGAAGAGCAGTTGGCTTTTGCTGCTTCCTGTTCCTACAGGTCGCCCTGCCTCTACTTCCCTGTCAGGTAGAAGTCCGGACTTCTTGAACCCCAAGCCTTCACCTGAAGTGTTTCTTGTTGGCCACCTGTCTCCTGTAAGCTGATCAGTGCAGGAGGCCCATCAGGATTCTCCCGTCCACATTCTCTCCCCTGTCTCTTAATTTTTAGGCAGTTGCGAGAGAGATTCTTTATCCCTGTGTAGACCCTATCAGCAATTCTAGTCCTTGGTTTAGATCAGCGGTTCTCAACCTGTGGGTCGCGACCCCTTTGGGGGTCGAACGACCCTTTCACAGGGGTCACCTAAGACCATCGGAAAACACATATATAATTACATATTGTTTTTGTGATAAATCACTATGCTTTAATTATTTTCAATTTGTAACAATGAAAATACATCCTGCATATCAGATATTTACATTATGATTCATAACAGTAGCAAAGTTACAGTTATGAAGTAGCAACAAAAATAATTTTATGGTTGGGGGTCACCACCACATGAGGAACTGTATTAAAGGGTCGCGCATTAGGAAGGTTGAGAACCACTGGTTTAGATGTATAGAGCTGTCTTCTAATTTTATTGTAATCTAAAAGAAAGAAATGCGTGTCTCTTCTTCTAGATCTGAATCTTACTTAAAAAGTGCTGGTTGACAGGATCTGCTGGGGTAGAACCAATAGTGATGGCTCCTCAGGGGAAGGCCCCTCCTGTTAAGGTTTCGGCAGTGCCTTCTGCCGGGGCCTCGACAAATACAGAGCTGCCTGCGTTCTCCGTGAGCGGCCCTGGAACGCTGCTGTGTTGCAGGCATGCTCCCTTATTCCTGTGGGACCCTCCGTCTGCCCAGCTCCTTGGCTGACCCATAGCAGAAAAGGACACAGAGCTGGGCGAGACAGGGATGTGGGTGGAGTCCCCGCATCAGGAGGAACAGGACACTAGTTGCCAAAAGAAATTTTATCATCCTAATAAAACGAAGCACATGATTTGCATTCCAGGTCCTTCAACTATTCTATGGGATCCCGGGCGTTTTCCCATGACAGTATTTTTATCCCTGATGGGGGAGCAGAAAGTGAGCAGACAGTTCAAGCAATGTCACAGGACAACATCCTGGGCAAAGTCAAAACTCTTCAGGTAAGACAGCTTGAGACTGGAAGGTTAGAGCTGCAGGAGGGCCTGGCTGTGGAGGGAGTGGGGAGATGCCAGCTTAGCCCTGAGTGATGGATGGGGAGGTCCCGCGGGAGCTCCTGGGGAGAATTTTCGCCTTTTTTTTTTTTTTTTTTTTTTTGTAAGTGGAGTCAGTTCTCTAAGCCTCCTGTCCCCTGTGAGAGGTACGTTGTCAACGTTGTACCCACCTTCATAACACCCCCCTCTCCTGTTCTCTCAGACTGTTCCCTCCGTGTTGAGTGGGCATTACGAGGACAGGTACCCCAGAGAAGCTGCATGACTCGGATGGGAGGAGTCATTAACCGTGAAGTGTTGGCCATAATCCCCAAGTTCAGGGCTGGCTGTCTGTGGATGGTTTGCACGGCAAGTGTTCACTCTCCAAGCCTCCCTGCTTGGAGCGGGAATGCTGAGCCTCTTACTCTGTTGTGCGCATAAATCTGGCTCCCCGGAGCCACCGGGCCTCAGAGGAATACCGGGAAGCTCTTAGGGCACCCCATCCCACCCCACCCCTGTTCAGCTGCAGAGCTGGGCAGTTTTCCTACATAAAATTAACTCAGGTGGTAACTCCTTAATCATGGAAGTGCAGTTGACCCTTTAACGGTGAGGGTTTGAACAGCGCGGGTCCACTTATGCACAGATTTTTTTTCAATAAATACTGTAAATGTATTTCTCTTATGATTTTCTTAATAATATCTCTTTTCTCTAGATTCCTTTATTGTAAGAATACAGTATATAATACAACATACAAATGTGTGTTGATAATCAGTTTGTGACTGGTAAGGCTTCTGGTCAAGAGTAGGCTATAAGTAGTTACGTTTTGGGAAAGTCAGAAGTTACGTGTGGATGTTCAGTTGCATGGGGGTTGGCACCCCTAACCCCTGCATTGTTCAAGGGTCAACTGTATAATAAAATAATTCTTCACCAAAAGTGATTCCGCTCATGGGGACTCCGGGAAAAGCAAGGGAGTGAAGACACCTGGGATCTGACTGTGTAGGTTTGCCTGATTGCTGGGGAGAATTCACTCGCCTGACAGAAGTGCCTAAGCAGGCACTTCTCTGAGACAGGGTGCCTGGAGGCGATCCAGATCACGAACAGGGGACTCTGGTGTGCTGGTTTCCCTCTGTCTGTAAGTCTGCAAGAGTGAGTGAGTGAGTAAAAAAAAAAGAAAAAAGGGAACAGCTGGCTTGAGTAGCTGCTGACAAGATGAAGCATTATACTCAAATTTTCTGTTTTCTTGAAATGTTCTTGTTTCTACTGAACATTAGCTACGTATGTTGTGATCAGAGTTTGGTCACATATTCCCCACACACTCTCAGCCGAATGCAGCATATGGCAAGCAGGGCAAGAGCCCACACCCTGGCACCGCGCCCAACGCGCCCAGGTCCTTATTCCTACTGCCCAAGGCCATCGTCCTGCCCCAGAGCTAACCTGGGCACTGCCTCCAGGTTCCGCCACTTCCTAACCAGGCTACATTCTTGGCTCTTGCTGGCTGTGCTCTCTGAACCCCTGGCTTATCATATCTGCTTTCTAAAAGGAGTGACTTACAGATTCCAGTCCACAAAACAGCTGTGTTTTATGAGTTCTTTAAACTTAGATAGTAGTTCACTTAGTACATTATAGCACCTGCCACTGCCACGCCAAGAAGTGGACTTGGAGTTGTAAATGATATGGGATTCTACAGTATTGAAAATGTGGAAACTCAGTGCAATGTGTGACTGCCTATTCATCCTGTTAGGCACAATTTTAAAGAATCTGATCTCACAATTAATAAAATGTAAAACAACCAACTTCCCCGAAGCCACAATTCTATTAATTAAACAGGAAGAGAAAATGTAAGTAAAATAACTAGATAATTCGTGTGCTCTCTTTTGATGATAGCTACTCATAGGAGGTTTTCCTAATTTTGCTTCTGTTGTATGGAATCATGAGCTTCCTTACAGCTCTATAGTTATATTTAAAAAATAAAATAAAATAAAATAAAGGGCTTTGCTCTTCGAAGAGGGAAATGGGGACCATTGTCATAGGAAATGTAATTTTTGGAGTGACATAAGATGTAACTGTATCACCCCCAAAAGACTGTGCTTTATTTTTCAGTCGACTAAGCAGTATGTTCCTGGTAAGTCGTAGAAATAGTAGTTAACTGTTTTAAGTTGCATGAATGCTTTGCATTTTTTCATGACAATGTTATGCTGGCATTGATGCTTACTAAGCAGCATAAAAGACCGCCCTTCATAGGCTCCAGCATGGAATGAGGGTGTTTAGTTATGTCAGAGGCATGAATGGTTTTTTTTAATGTCTGAAATTGTCTTTGTGTATCTGCGTATGTTTATTTTAAAGAGAGAGAGACGAGTAATGGATAAACCTATTTGACAGTAAATGTCTTGGCAAGCTCATTAGCCTCCATTATTAAGACATTCTTTTGAAATTAGATTTTTCCTGGAATGCCATTTAAGACAAAAGAAAACACATTTTTCTCTGGCTTAAGAAACTTCCCAGCCCTTAGAAACCCCCAGAACCGTGCCTGTAAATGAATGCATTTGGAAAGGTTGCCCTCTAGTGGCCACATGTCATCATCTCAGCTAAAACTGTCCTATGTGGCACCGGGGCCAGTTGGTATCTCTACTGAGTACGGAACGACTGAATCCAGCAGACACCAGCCTACACTTTTCTGAATAGAGTAAATGGGCCACCTGCACAAACGTATGTGGTGACCGATTGAGTCACTGTTCCTCTGGTGTAGCACGGAGTGGCCTTGTCAGCTCTGCCCTTCCTTGCATTTGGACTACAGTGTCCTTGTTTCCTTCTTGCCGCTGCCAGAGCACAGATGAGAGAGGTACCTGCATATCTTAGATCAGACCGGGCTGTGAAGTATCTACCAACTAATGATAAACCTCCGGAACACCACAGTCGCAGCCTGCAGACAGTTTGTAGAATTATACCACTCCTTTGTCAGAAATGCTTGGGCCCATTCGTCCACAAGCTACTTAGCTCTGGAGGGAAAACCTCCATCCTCAGTAGCTACTGTCTCCTGCTGAGCTGGGTTTCACGGAAAAATGCCAAAGTGTCATTTGCTTGAGGATTTTGACACCTATTGAGGACGCAAGGAATAAACACCTGCTCTTAGCCACTTCTTCATGGAGCAGGCGTCTTTAAATCTGTATGCTTTCTCTTTTTTTTCCCTTCTTTTTTTTTTTTTTTAGCTTGTTTTAACTGTGGGAGTATCCATAGTTCACTCAAGAAGACAGCAACTTCATTTTTCCTCCACTTTATTCTTGCAGACATGGTCTGGAGAATGAGAAATCGGGGGACTCTAAACACTGGCACAATGGGCGAGCTGCAGGATAGGACATGCTTGGAATTCCCACACCATGAGAAGAGCCTCATCAATATGGATGTGCATTCCTATAGCATCATTCTCCAGCATTCCATATTACAACAAAATGGCCCAGTTTGAGTGAATAAAATATAGTCCCTTTTCGCTCACATTCCAGGCTCAACAGTAACAGCATTCATAGCCACACGCAGCATGGACTCACGGGATAGGCACAGCTTTCCCCTCTCCCCTCTGGCTATGATCGCAGGCTGTATAAGGATCCATGGGTATTGGGGAGGCCAGGGGGTGGGAAGGTGGAGGGAGTGGTGGTCGTTTCTTCCCCTGTAACATAAGGGCAGGCTCGCCGTAGCAGTCCGTTTTTCAGTGATTGCTTATGTCAGTTTCTCTGTAACAATGCCTGAATAGTGGGCAGAAATAGTCACACACACACAAAAGCCGCACTTATCCCTGTATTCAGTTCACAGCACACCTAAGATTGCCAGGTAGGGTTAGCAGTCCCGTTTGCATTGTCAACAAGACGCCGAGCGTGGTGACAGCCCGTCTCCGTCCAGTCAGCTGAAGGAAGCATTTGGAGCAGGACTGCAGCGAAGGGGGAGTGTGCAGGTGCAGGAGCCTTCACCTCGAGAGCCTGAGGATCAGCCACCATGGCCTTGGCCCCAAGTCCTGCCTGGCCTTGGGCCCTAAGTCCTGCCTGGCCGTAGGTGTCATGTCTGACAGCTGCAGGGAGTGTCTGTGAAGAGACAACCCTTGGTCTGGGCAGAGAGGTTTGCCCTATTCCTAAACTGTGGCCATCATTTCTTTGATGACCTGAGTCCTCCCCCTCCTCCAACCCCACTGCCTCCTCCTAGGCCCCCTAGCCACCAGCCTGCACTCATTTTCTCTGGAGGGAATTTGAATCAGCTGCTTTACGGAGATGCACATTGTTCACAAAGGCAACAGCATGTGTTTCTTCTGGCAGGATGAGCATGTCGGTGACGTATCAACCCTTTGATATCTGCATCCTCCCCGCCCCCCGACACGCACACACTCACACACACACCCCAGCCTCAGCTGGTGCCTGCAGTCAGGCGTGCAGCTTTTCCTAGGCCCTCAACGCTCCTCTCCATGCATTTCCTCGGACCCTGCACCCTCCTCTCTGTTGGCCTCTTTTCTCTAACCTCCCACTTCTTTTCTTAACACTGCTCTGTCCCTTTCCAAGCTTTGTCCCATGGTCCTTATTTCTCTGTCCTGTTCTTACTCGCCTTTGGTTGGGTTTGATTTCCATTTTCTCCTTCCTTTCCCATTGGTAGCCATCCCATGGGAGACGGTGATTCCATTTTGCCATGTTCTTTTCTGTCCCCTAAGGATCAGGTGGACCAACACCAGTTTCTAAAAGGGGCGCCAAGGTAGTAAAATATCGTCACATTCCTTCCTTTTTGTGATGGTGGCAAAAATCCCTACGAAATGCACTATAGTGTTAGGCCAGGTTCTCCTTGCGAGCTGGTTGCAGAAGTATTCTTTCCATTGTGAACAGGAGTCCCCTCATGTCCTCCTCCAGGAGCCCGAGTGGACGGCAGAGCCTGGCAGCTGGAGGTGTGTGTCTCAGGGTTTGGAACCCTTTGCAGTCTTGGCCAACACTCCTAGAGGAGGGACAGAGGGTGAACCCAGGGCTGGGCCAGGACCCCCGCACACAGGAACCCTTCCCTCCTCTTCTGCCCAGTTCCCAGCCCTTTCCCACCGGGCAGCAGAGTGAGACGGCCGTGACTGTTAACACCGTGTCTCTCTGTCTGATTCCATCGGCTGTTCGAATGTGCCTGCGAATTGATCTGCTCAGAGTGGATACTCGCTGCCGCTTCCTGCTAAACTTGTTTTTGGAAGACACCCTTTTCAGCCTTCTCCTCCCCGAAACCCTTTCAGACTGCTCAGGCTGTATCATTGGCTGGCCTCAGGCTTCGATATGTGCGCCTTCCTGTGGGTTGGGGAGCCAGGCTCAGGTCACACACATGTCCTGTCTTCCTGTGCGCCTGATTTGGCATGCTGGGGTGCGGGGAGGGAGTGTGGGGGGCCGGGGGGAGTCTTAGGCTCATCTCACTCATGTCTCTGCAATCTCACCACACATCATGCAAGGCTAAGGGGGAGCTGGGCAGCGGTGGGTGGGTTTGGTACCCTGAGTACAGAGGGAGGAGGGGCATTCCCTTTGAGGGCTTCTCCGCCAGGAAACTTCAGTCAGGTATAAAAATGCTGCTTCGTGTTTTTATTCTTGCCCCTGTGAGAAGGAAGCCCGATGTCAAGTTTATAAGAGCCAGTGGCGTGCAACGAAAATCACACTGAAAGCGGTTTTTGAAGACCTAGATTCAAATTCCTTTGGGGCCACTCATTCTTTCCATAAGCTGGGGCCAGTCACTTCCCCCTCTGGACCGCTGATTTGTTTGCAGAGTGAGGGGTTGGACTGTATGATTGCTAAGGTTCTTTGCAGCTCTGTGGGATTAAATATTAACCCAGTTAAAGATAAAAATCAGATCACCTCCTCTTTCTCTCTCTTTTTGAGGCATAAGAGGACTCTGAAACCCAAGTACTAGCTCTAGAGCAGCAGTTCTCAGCCGGAGGCGGTTTTACCCCCCAGGGGACATGGGACAGCATCTGGAGACAATGTTGGTTGCCTCTGCTGGGGAAAGAGGGCTTGCCACTGGCATCTGGTGTCCAGAGGCCATGGGTGCTGCTAAACAGCCCATCGTGCATAGGACAGCTCCCCACAACAAAGAATTACCGGCCCAGAAGGTCAGGTGCCGGGGTTGAAACCCTGCTCTAGACGAAGGCAGTAAGTGGTCTGCACAGTACCCTCGATGCCATGGTCGCCCAGACCGCCATGCTCACGGCCTTTTCTTCCTGAACGCCGTTCGTTTTCTCTGCCACGGCCCCTTAAATATGTTGCCCTTTCTTTAGCTATTGTTTTTGTTTTTCTTCCGGGAACATATTTCCTTTTCTAATCTGGCTTTTCTCTAATTCCACAAACTTACTATTTTTCTTCCTGATTTGCACCCCCTGATTTCCCACCCCTTCTCCCCACCGGATGAGCCACTCCCACTGGAATGCAGCCTCCTCAGTGCTTTCCTCCTGCCGACTTCTCTGCCCCTTCCCCACGTGGTGTCTGCGGGCCCCTGGTTCACAGTGGGCAGCCACAGCGAGGGCAAAGCAGAGGTCCTGGTAGCAGGACAGGATTCTGCCCCTCCCAGGGCTTCAGCATTGACCCTGGAAAGAGGCGCTGGCCCTGGCAGTGATACCCACTGTGGCCCGAACATGGCGTTCAAGCTGGTGAGGGAGGTGGCCCAAGCATATCTATTCCGGGGGAATGTGTCCAAAAGGGGCTGGCAGTTCCCCCATTGCAGCCACTAGGGTCTGGATTTCCCCCAGGGGTCCCTGCATTTCATGGAACCATTTTCTATACAATTTTTATATTTTTAACAGACCTTTCCTATAAATTGATTTTGAGGTCAATCAAAAATGTTTTGTCCTAACACGTATCCCAACTTTTGATCCAGAAACGGGGCTTTCTGCCCCCTGGGGAAGTGACATCTCCATGAAAGAGGGTGGCTGGGTGCAAAGAGCTCGCGGCTGGAAGGCGGGAGAGGAAGGGAACCGAGGCTGGAGACGCACTCGCTTACTGTAGGGCTGCCTGGCGGTCACTGGCGCAGTGTTTGGAGAGCAGCCGTGCGCAGAGCGTGCCTCAGGCCAACCAGACACGCGGGGACCCTGGCTGCGGTTCCTGCGAGCTGCCTCACCGCCTCAGCTCGTCTGTCTTGTGTTTCTCTCCAGCGGCAGTTGGGCAAGAACATCAAGTTTGGGCAGCCGCCGCCCGGTGCCACTCCCATGAAGAGGGCAGACAGCGGGGAGGCCAGCCTGGAAGGGGACCCGCTCCTGGCCCGTCCCATGGAACCTGTGACTCAGCAGGACCTCACCCTCCCAGACGCCGACAACGAAGTGAGGCTCCGCGGGGCAAGGACGCGACTGCTGATAACCCGGGCGGCCGTGGGGCAGTGGACAGGGGCAGCCGCTGACCCTGGGGTCTGCAGGGCAGGGGGAAGGGGGGAGACTTTTCTGTTGAGTGGCCCAGGGAGAGGACTTCGT